ATCCAAAAACTCAGCTACTAACGTTTTATGACGTGTTAATATTTCCTATTTGAAACGAAAAATATTAAGCATAACTTAATTTTATAAAATATGTAATTATTAAAATATCTCACCTTGAATGTGGCAAATGCATCACTAGCAATATCAAAAGTACTCAACTCCACATATTCAAAGAAATTATAAAATTGAGGAGAATACAAAATAATTTTAGTTAACGATTCGTGTCGGAGGCATTCTCTAAGAATCAATCCACAATTGAGCGCTATTTCTGAATTTTCATATCTGGATTGCGAAAATATGAAATATTAAAAATGATCATTTAAATATCACGTCATAGAATTAATAAAACTCCTAACCCCTTGAGTAAAGTAAATAAGATATCCTCTTTATTTTTTAAATAGTCGACGGTAGGTGTCAATGAACCAATTTGCCTTCTTAAAAGGTTGTTAAATATTTGTGAAACATCTTTCTTTGCCTAATCATTAATTAATTGCCAATTAATAAGAAAGATTTCAAAATTAAAATAAAGGTACATAAACTAAGGATTACCTCGAATTCAAATCGCCAGATATTAAGCACGAGTAATTGCAAAATATCGTTGTTGTATACTTCTTGCGCTAATTGCGCGACAGTTTCTTGAACTGGCTCGCTGTCTAGAATATGTAGTAGAAATGAGATCAATTTTTAGCATATTCCCGACAATGCAAGGACTTTCGAATATATTCTCACCTCCTTCGCCATAAAGAATATTTTTCATTGCTATTAAATTTTTCGATATGTCTTCGCTTGCCTACGAAATGACATTTGGTGAGGACCATTCTTCTTATCTTTTCTTATCTTTATCACTATGCAGGTTGTTGAGAGGTCAGGAACCACTCTTCTTATACGTGAAAAAAACATAAATGAAGTCTTCAAACGAAATAAGGAAGTACTTCTAAAAAATGGCCTGAGCTCCTTACAACAGTATCGTCCCTCAATACATAAAAGAAGCCTAAAAACAATGCTAGCTCGTCGTTTTAACGAACCTTCTTTTTATCCACGCCGTCTAACTTATTAATGGCATCCTTTACAGCTTTCACCAATTCATGTGGGGTCTTTGACTTCGACTTGAAAATAAAATTCATATTTTTAGTGCCTAAAATACTTGGTGCCTTTGAGACTGGACTTTACAAGAATTGTGGGAAAGAGGGTCGTCGTTCTCAAATTTTAGTTGGAAGAAGGGGGTACTTATAGCTTCGACCTCCGTATTTCTTTTAATGTGGTAGCTTATTTTCATGTATTAATAAAATATAATTAAATAGATTTAAGTCAAAGTTATACCCCTGACGACGTGTCCGAGTGGTTAAGGAGTGTGACTAGAAATCACATGGGCTCTGCCCGCACAGGTTCAAGTCCTGTCGTCGTCGCAACAACTTTTTTTTTGTTAATTTTTGTTACGCCTTAAATGATAAGTACGTACGATATTGATTCATGTAACAAAGAAATCTTCACATGATAAACCAACTTTTTCCTTATGAGAGCAAATGCATAACGTGAGAACCACGCTTTTTTCGTACTTTAAGTCACATGTCCTCGGACGACTATGTGTGATGAATAGTATCACACAGTTTCGGCAATCATAATATACTAATCATCACATTGGGCATCCCAAATAATTTGGTTCATCTCTGGATACGGCCAATCTACTGACAGAAATCTTATCCATAGATTTCCAGGTTTTCATTTGGCGTTCGAAATATTGATATTTATTTAAATATAAAGCACGTTTACGTTATTAAATTGAGGTTCAATGGATCAAAATCACACTTTCTTAACCATAAACGTCTAGCTTAACCGATGATTGACTAGGTATGTAGATCATGATTTTTTGTGATAATAACTAATCCTTTTAACCAGAAGTCCAAATACCCAAATTTAACAAATAAAAAATTTTCTAAAAAAGTCTGATATATTACAACAATTCATACAATTACCACCATTGTTCAAAATATTAAAATACTACAGATTCACGCCTAGCAAGAACAGGCAATACATGAATTCTAGTTAAGTACATTATCGTAAACTAACTATTAAAATGTTGATCTATAATAAGTAATTAGAACTGATATAGATTCGGTGAGTATACAATGTTTTTTTTCTTTTTTTACTTCGGGAACATTATGTAACGACGTTTTTTATTTATCTAAAAAAAAAAAATAAACAATATAAAATACGAGCATGGGGGAGTTTCCGGATTATAGT